GTTATGTTAATGAGGGAGGCCTGGTAGAACAGTGGTTAAGCTTTGGGCTGCTAACTAAAAGGTCAACAGTTCAAATTCACCAGCTACTCCTTGGAAATGCTATGGTGCAGTTCTACTCTCTACTATAGGGTGACTATGAGTCGGAATCAACTCCACGGCAATGAGTTGGTTGGTTGGTTTTTAAGTTAAGGAGGCAAGACTCAATTTACAGGATTAAGTTGTATCTTGAATCAATCTCTTTTGATATATAAAAGAGAGAATTGAGCAGAGAGGGGAGGGACCTCCTACCATCAAGAATGAAGAACCAGGAGGGGAGTGCATCATTTGCACCTGGGTTCCCTGAGCTTAAAAGTTTGATAACAGGGGAAGATTTATGACAAGCACTTTCTTCAAGGGCTGTCAGAAAGAGAAAGCCTTCTCCTGGAACTAGCACCATTAATTCAGACTTCCAGCATCCTTGACTGTGAGATAACAAATTTCTCTTAGTTAAAGCTGTCCACTCTGGTATTTCTGTTGTAGCAGTACTAGATAACTAAGACATCATTTTAAATCTTCAAGCTCTTATTTCTTTTCCTGCTTTATTTCTCTTCATGCCACTTACAAAATTACTTAGTAAATTTTTAGTGACGCATGTGATTTTTGTCCAACTTCCCCAACTAGAAGGAAAGCAATATATCTGTGCATGACACATGGTAAGCACTCAATTAAAATATCTTGAGTGAATAAATGTCAAGGATTCTTTAATGTTGATTCTTTGAAAATATTTCTTATTGTTAGAGAAAAGGTGCTGTTATCTAGGTAAGAGTATTCAGAGTGTACTGATCAAGTTTGTTGAGATCACCCCTGAAGTGAAATTTTATTAATCTATGTATTTCAGAAGGAGATGCAGAAGTAATACTAGAATGCCTGGTGTTTTTGTATTATTACACTGAGATGAGCATGTTAATTAAAAGTTGTCAGAAGGATTCAATTACAGCCAACTGGGTGGCAGTGGTTGTTCAGTGGTAGAAATGTCACCTTCTGAGCAGAAGGCCAAGGTTCAATGCCTAGTCAATGCTGCTCAGACACAACCACTACTCTTCTGTCAGTGGAGGCTTGGGTGTTGCTATGGTGTTAAACAGATTTTAGCAGAACTTTCAGCCTAAGCCAACTAGGAAGAAAAGATTGAGATCTACTTCCAAAAATCAACCAGTGAAAACCCTATGTATCACAATGATCCAATCCCATTGAGCATGGAATTGCCCTTGTTCTGAGACCAACAACAGCTAACAACAAAAAAGAATCATGATATTCTTCAGTAACCAACTTAGACTGGAGTGCTCAGGTGATGAATGTGAAGAGGAAATTGGCTATTAGTGAAACAAGGGCAGGGGAATCCTATCACATACTTCTAGAGTGATAGGGTTAATGAGTTAGACTCTTGCTTTTTTTCTTTCTTTTAATTGTACTTCAGGTGAAGGCTTACAGAACAAATAGTTTTTCATGAAACAGTAGTACACATATTGTTTCATGACATTGGTTAACAACCCCACAACATGTCAACCTTCTAACTTCTCAACTTTTTTTTTGGTGAAAATACACATAGCCTAAGATACACCATTTCAAAAATTTCTACATACACAGTTCAGTGACAATGACTACACTCTTCCAATTGTGCTGTTATTCTCACTTAAGATAAAGGCTTACAGAACAAAATAGTTTCTCATTTAACAGTTACAACAAATGTTGCTCTATGGCCATGGTTAACAATCTCACAACACATCAACAATATCCTTATTCAACCTTGGGTTCCCTATCACCAGCTTGCTTGTCCACTTCTGCCTTCTGGCCCTTGTCACTGGACTACTGTACCTCGTTAGTCTCATTTGGTTTTATGGGGCTGTCCACTCCCAGGCTGAACGGTGAACCTCGGAGATAACTTCACCACCGAGCTAAAAGGGTGGCTGGGGGCAATAGTTTCAGGGTTTCTCCAGTCTCCTTTAGGCCAGTAAATCTGCTCTTTTTTTTGTGAGTTAGAATTATGTTCTACATCCTTTTCCAGCTCTGCCCAGAACCCTCTGTTGTGATCCTGGTCAGAGCAGTCAGTGGTAGCCGGGCACCATCTAGCTGTACTAGACTCAGTCCGGTGGAGGCGTGGGTAGCTGTGGACAATTAGTCCTTCGAACTAACCTTTTCCTTTTATCCTGTTCTCTTCATTCTCCCTTGCTCCCAAAGGGATGAGACCAGTGGAGTATCTTAGATGGCCGCTCACAGGCTTTTAAGACCCCAGACACTACTCACCAAGG